TTCCTGATACGGATGGGCTGGTGCTGGCAAACCAGCACCTGTGTGCAGTGGGATAAAAGTGGAGTACAGCGACGCCTGCACTGTAGCCGTGTTTCTCTAATTTGGAAACACGTAGTGCTTGAATTTTACAGGTGCCGGTTTTATACAGCATAATAAATGTGCTCACCGCAAAACTCTAATCAATGCAATGTAGCTTGGCAATCCTGGGGAGAGGAACAGGCCCGTTGAAAGATTTAAATTCAGTTTCTCTTCTGGATTAAAAATGAAGGCAGAGCATCCGACGTGCGGGCAAGACGACATATTTCAGTGTAGTGGTGGAAGAGTCAATTGGTTTTTTTCTCATTGTCTTCCTAGTATCCTGAAATGTGCTTGGGGAATTCTTGGAGATCTCTAACCTCACATAAGAAGTCATACATCAACATGCTTATTTTGAAGTAGCGCTGTGTTGCGTTGATAGCTTTTTGCAAAAAGTATAACTTGTTACTTCTTAATGACTTCTAGGTTTTTTAAAACAAATTGTTTATCACCTGCAGTTTTGAGCAATTTCAGAGCAGTAAAATACTATTTTGAAGTTAGAAAAATGTAAATTAGTATCCCAGACTCAGAATTCTAAGGTTTCCTAAAAATCTCAGCTTCATCTTTTACCTTGTGTAGGCTATTCTGGTGGTAATGGTAGTCAAAATTAATAAGCTTTGAATTGCTAAAAGCTTGTTATCTTAGATTTACATTTTAATGGATGCATCTTGATGCTTATGTGTGTGTGTGTTGTCCAGGTCTGACTGTAGGATTAGGATTTAATCACTGACATGGGCAGAAGAAGGAATAAAACGTTGTGCTGGAGTCTTACTGTAATACAAGATGAATGATAAGTGTTGATAACTGTAGTGTTAACATTTCCATAGCTAAACTGCTATACAGCATTAGATTATTACCACAAAGGACAGGTTACTTACATCGTACTTCTGATAGAATTGGCACGTCTCACTTTTAGTAGTTTGTTCTGTTGGTTGGCCTTTAAGTTAGGGGCAAGAATCACTAGGGGCTTAGTATCACTAGAATGATACTAAGCAGTAGATACCAGTTTTTAAACCGACATTTTAGACATGCTTGTTTGGCAGTACAGCACCACAATTGTTTTTATAATGTTTCTAGGATTTTCTTAAGCATTTCTGTAGCCTGCAAAACCCAATCATTTGAGGCTCGAATTCAGTATTTTTCCAGGGATGTCTGTTCCCAGGGATGTCAGATTTAAAAGAATGAGTGGACTTGCAGACCTTTGCACTTGACAGAGTATTCGGTTTATTACTCTGATCTCTTCTTGCTGTTCAGTTTGTTACACTAGTTTATGCAGTGAGATTAGGCTTTGTGCTATCATTTCAAATGACTTAATGTTCATCTTAACTTAAAAATATTTTGGGTTTTTTTAACATAGCCTAAACTATACAAGTCCATTATTGAAGATGTGATCGAAGGTGTGCGGGAACTCTTTGCAGAAGAGGGTTTAGAGGAACAGGTTCTGAAAGACTTGAAGCAGGTTTGTTGGGTTCCCCTGCATTAATGGAAGTTGTGAATTTTTTTCTTTTGAGATGATATACCTGTCTGTTTCTTTGCCCTCTAAAATGTGCAAACTTTTGCCCTTAGAGTTACAAATATCCTGCAAATGATGTATTGGGCTGCTGGACGTCAAAATTCAGTAATGACTGTTGCCATATTTATTGGGTAGAATCAGTTAGTTTACTCTTGGAAGAATACCTGATTATAATTTTAAATGTGGCTTATTTTTAAAACTGATGTCTGTTGACCCTAATAATCTTTCTGCAGCTTTGGGAAACCAAGGTGGTGCAGTCTAAAGCAACAGAAGGCTTCTTCAGCCATAGCCACCGTTGTCCACAGTTTACCCTGCAGTTGCCGCAAAATTTTCACCGTGTTCTGCAGGCTTCAGCAGGTCAGATGTTGTTGAACACAACAGATGCAATTTAAGAATAGCTCAGGGATTCAAGAATCTTTTTGGAAGACTTGAAGGTGCTGCAATAATTTCGATTTGCAATGCTCATGTACATATCTAGCATGATGGGGAACAGTAATTATTTGAAAGCAGAGTTTGACCAATAAGGGATGAATTAAACTTTGATGAACTACTGCAGTTATATCTATGTGCTCTTGATCTGTTGCTTATTTCCAGTAGCAAAACATGAAGAGAATTTTAGCCTTCTTGTGTGCAGTCCAGAAGTGTAGCCCTTCAATTGCAAGTTTTGCCAGTAGGGTCCCTTTTTACTGTGTGGCATGATGCGTGCTGAGTTTATATGGCATGTTCGTGCCATGCAGCTCTGCTGTTGTGTTGGAGTTTAATCTGTTTCTGCACTTGCTGAAATGTAAGGCCTTGCTCAAACAGAAGAGTGGGTGTTTTGGGGGAGTTTTTTGGTCTGTCTTTCAGTTAGTTTTCTGAAAAGCAGTATTCCTGTTGCACTGAAGAACTTGACTTTCACACAGACTCTGACATTGGGACCTATTCTTCCAAATTAAATCCAGCTGACCACTGTGGTAATGTCAGGGTAGAGTGTAATGCTCAGCTGAGGCTTCTCCCAGTGTGAGAGGCCATTAGGGCCTTTCCACACTAAGGACAAAACTTGATGATTTAATGAAAATTTGTGTTGTAGTGCACTTCAGGGTTGGGCAGGCACTCTTCATCTTTTTTTTTACAGTCTTGAATGGACAGGTTTTGGAGACATGTTTTAGTTGTTCCATGTGGTTAAAGGGACTATACTTCTGGGTTTGTTTGCTATTGGAGGCTTTATATTTAATGAGCTTTATCTTGTTACTCCTAATTTTTGCAAGGCCAATACTAGGGCAAAACAATATTTTGAAATTTTGAAGATTGCTTTTCCTACTATTGGCACCTTTGGATTTGCTCTGGTGCAGAAAGATAACTGCACATTTTCCTCCTGTTGACCAGGCAGTGCATTTTACCTATATGTTCATGGTCATGTTAAAATGGTAGCATTGCATGTGTGTCCTTCTAGTTGATGTAATAACTAGAAATGGCATGGTTAACTTTTACAGTGCAACTTAAACAGATTAAATAGTTAATTAGAAATATGTTAAAAAAAATAATCTGCAAGACCAGCTTTTAGCAAAATGTAAGTTTTACAAATTGAGGGTATAACCCCTCCCCCTGCGTACAGCATAAGCTTGAAGCAGCATAAAGGGAAGTATATTCGAGAGCCTTATCTAGACATGCTCACTTGTTTGTTTGATCTAACGAGTATGAAACTGAAGTTAGATTGCTTTAGTTTCAGCAGTGCTTGCTGTAAATTACGAAAAGTTCTACTGTGACTTGAGAAATTAATGGTTTTTTTAAAGTGGCTTTTCAATTTTATTTTTTTTTTTCCCCTATAGCTTCTTTAGTTATCCCAACTGGCAGAGGTTTTCAGCATTTCACAGCAGCAGGCCTGGTACGTAGCTGTAGTGACATTTTATTTCCATTTTGATTATTCTGAATTCTAAATGATTAAGTTTGTTACTTGTTAATAGGCTTAAGGGGAGGCAAGTATTAAATATTTTTCATGTATAGATGCTCTAGGACAGTATTTAGGGACGAAAAAGTAGCATTTCTCATGACAGCTTCAACTGTCTAATATGGTATAGTAGACAAGGGAGCAGGAGCTCTGCTGAGAGAGAATCAACAGCTGAAGAAACTCAGTGTTGTTACTTGAACTTCCCCCCCCCCCCCCCCTTTTTTTTTTCATGAAAACTGTACAAAAGGTAAGAGTCTGCAGAGGGAGAGCTGTAACTCTGCTGCTTCTGTTTGAGCAGTGAAAAAGGATGGGGATCTACCAGTTGGTTTTGGCAAGCAGTGCAGCCAGAAGCATGTTGGAAGACATGGCTGCACATATGTAGTTCATAGGATGAAATGTAGTGGAAATGCATGTCTACAGATACTTTTTTTTTTTTTTAATTATTATTATTACTTGGTGTTAAAATAATGCATGGTTGGGAAATGCTAGCACTAATGAAGCTGGGAGCAGTATTATCTGCAAGGCATAGAAATCATCCCCAAGAAGGTGTTTTTGGAGCTGACAGACTCTGAACTCTGGGCATGGCAAAATCTGTTTGGTGAGAGGAGGGGGTATTAATTATCAGAGCTTGATGAACTTATCGAGTGCCTCCTGAGCCTCAAGCTAATTAGCTTGCCAAGCTGAAATACAATATTGGGAAGGTGTTTGTGTATCATGCAAGTTTCCCAATTTAAAATTTGGATTTCCCTGGAACAGCTAGTTTGAAAGAGAGCCTTATAGCCAACTCTTTGCTTTCCCAGAGAAAAAGAGACCGTGAAGTGACTTAATAGGCCTAGGCAAGGAATCTCTGCTGTGTCAAGTTGTACATAAGCTTAGGTAAAAGTGGCTCTGAGTGGAAAAATACCTTTCTGGATGGTGCGTGCATTGAGGGGGCACAGAAAAGTGTTCTGTTAATGAAAGGGGAATGTGATAACTGGAAAATAGGAAACACTTTGGGCAAGTCATTATTCTATCAATACAGAATACTCTTAACTGTCTAAATCTGAAAAGTCTGAAGCAACTCTTCAGTAAAGACGATCACAAAAAGCCCCTCATCTGTGTTTCATCTGGGTGTGCTGTGTGTGATGTTCAGGGCCCTAGGAGATAAAGTATGCACTATTTCTTAATAAAGCTCTTGTGTATCTAGGGTGCTTCACGAGCAGGTGCAACTCTTGCTCTCCCTTCGGGCATTGCTTATCCTGTACATGTACCAGCTGGAGTGACGCTACAGACAGCATCTGGTAAGATTAAGGGGACACGTAAAACATTACAGTGCATTGCCTGTATGTGGATATTGAAAGATGGTCCCGAGTACAGTAGATAAAACAAATGTGAAGTTAAAGTATAGGTGGGTAGAGCCAGTTCTCCTCCTTTTCCTTTGTAGTTTGTGTTTGTAATTGCTGCATGGGGGAAGTAATTACATTGATTAGTTAGCGTGTCAGTTGTGTACACTGGCAAGATCAGTTAACATGGGCTGGCAGGTGATGCCATTTTTTTGCTCTACAACTGCTCGCAAATATGTTCCTTTGTCAGTTCAGACATAGGTATCTCCTTCTCCTGTATGAGGGACAACCTTTCATATTTTAAAAAGGTAAAGGCATTCTGGTACTTCAGAAAAAAATTGATTATTTTTATTCAAATAAAATCCAACCATCCGTTAACCTTTTTGATCACACTCTTCTGCTGATAAAACTGCCTGTACTGCTTGTACAAAAATATGCTTGTACTGCTTATGGTGTGATGAGTGGAAGGCTTATTTCAGTCATAGATTGACTCTTTCCTCAAGCAGCAGTTTTTCTTTCACTAGATACCTATTTCAGGTATAATTCCTAAGGTTTTGAGACCTTTAGGCTGGTATCAGTGACTCTGTGTGTGTAAGTATGTGTGTGGGGAAAAGAATGATTAAATGAAATTGGGAACTTAGCTTTGGCATCTTAATTCTAACACTGATAATAACTCTAAGGATTCAGTATTTGGAGTGTTTTTTGTACAATGAGAGGACAGATAAACTAGGAGTTTTTTTGTTTTTGTTTTTTTTTTAACTAAACTAGGAGGTTTTCTTTGGAGGGGATACCTAAATGTCCTTAAGAATGAACTGTCCCTGTAGATATGGAAACAAATTTAAAACAGGATTTTCCTTTTTTTTTTTCTTTTTAATCCAACCCCAAAAATGGGTATTAAACATGATGGTCTAGATGGAAGCTCTGACTCAAAAAGCCTCTGAATGCTTAATTTTCAAAGGCTGAAATTGTGCTTGGGGGAAATACAGCTTTGTAAACATCCTGTTTCTCATAGTTTGCCTGAGTATTTGCTATTGGTTATTAGCAGCAACAGGACAGTGGCCTGGATGAAACTGTGGTTTAACTCGATGAAACAGTTTTTTTAACTCTTCTCTCTGTAGGGCACCTTTATAAGGTAAATGTGCCTGTTATGGTTACCCAGGCCCTGGGAGATGCAAGTATTCTACATCATCCTGTTCAGCAGATACTTCAGCCCCTTGGGCAACCTTCAGTTCTGCAAGCCAGCATTGCTGGTGTTGCACAGGTGAATGCATCTTCTGCCCAGGCAGATGCTGAAACATTGCAACCTCGGGAGACTGCTGTCCAACAAACCATGGCATTTCAACCAAATGTCATGGAAAAAAACCACCTGGAGAACTCTGCCAATACTACACTGGTCCAGCAGCCTTCTGTGAGTCAGCAGGAAACCTAATGTAGCGTTGAATCAGCATGCAGACTCAACAGAAAAATCCCAGCACAGCAGTCTTCATACAGCTGTGTTTACTCCAGAATCCTCTGAAGGGTTTTCTCCCCCTGAATCCTTGGCAAACAACTCGAGCAGTGTGCTGCTGGATGTGGAGGGGCAGTTAGACATTGAGCCTCAGGAGTTGGTGCAACAGCAGGTGTCTGATGATATCATTGACCTGATTATCACGGGCAAAAGTTTGGATGATAACACTGTTCTGAAACATCAGGACAGCATTGCTTCATCTGACAAGGTAAGGCCTTTCATGTCTCAGCTGGTGAAAATACATCCGTTGGAGATGGTTGTTTGAGGTATCATAAGAGATGTGATCAAACACATCTAAGTGACAAGTAGCACCTCTATATTATTATAATAAAAATTATTATTTTAAAGTTAATTTTTGAGATTGTTTGGAATAGCAGTAGCTGCCTGCTTATTTTTACATTAACAATTTGTTACAATTATTGCTGAAATACTGGGACTGAAGAGAAGGACAATCTAAAAAAACTCTGAAAATGTAATGGATAGATACAATGTATTCTTAGACTTACTGACTCTGTGGGGGGATAACAGTAGCATTTTTTTTTTGTGACTGAGCACACATGAATTTCTTTGAGAACTTCCATGTCATTCTGACACTGAATCCGCATGTGGATATTGGCCAGCTGTGGGCAAATTGCTTTTGCAGTGTCAGCTGGGTTTAGTTTGAATTCATAATGTGGGGAGAGCATTTAACTTGCATTGAGAATGCATACTGAATATGAAAAGTCAAATTTGGTAAGTGAAAATCTGCTGGAAAGCAATGTATTTCCTTGGGAAAAAATCCTGAACAGACTAAAATTCAGCTAGAGCTGTGTGAAAAACTTGAATGATCTTAATTAACAAGCCACTTTCCTGACCTCATCTAATTTTTGTTCCAGAAATTATTTGCAGATGTTTTAAGTTCAGGATGGCTTGCTGACTTTGAGTTGTAATGCTTATATGTGATTGTGGCAAATGTATTAAATGCAAATTTAATGACAGTAATGACAAATGACTGTAAATAGAAAGCATGTTATGTTGCTCATCTGAACTCTGATGGCAGGATGGTAAAGACTATCCATAGTAAGAATGGAAGGTCAAAACAAAGTGTTATTTTCTTGAACTAGAAAGTGTATGTGGATGTGAATTAAGTGCTACAATAAAGATTTAATGAGAAACTGAAGATGGCTGAAAGCTTAAAGCCCTTTTATACTTCTGCGAACACTCAGTTTAGGGATCTAGCACTTTTATGAACAGTAACTTGAAGTACTGAAATATTTACTGTCTCTCAGCTTTTTGTATCTTACTTAAACAAAGCATTTTGATTGAGTTGAGGGGAAGGGATGAGTTAATCTTGGCTTTTATTTCAAAAATGGAAGATGCTTTTTTGGGGGGAAGGGGAGTAGCTTGTTTCCTTTTTTCTTTTTTTGTTTTTGGAGTTTTCCTTGCAATAGAAATTCTAAAGGCCAAGTCAATCATACTTTTCTTAACAAGTTGTTTGAGTACAATAGTGTTTAAGGAAAAGTCTAAGAGAATGTCTTTCTATATTGCTGAGGAATATTTGGCATGGATTCAATTTAAGGTTAGGTCTAAAAACAAGATTTGCCAATGTACTCAGGGTTTACAAGTAGGTCAGGACTTGAAATTCTCATTTTGGTGCCCCAATCTTGTTGCTTTATTAAACAAAAATCTCAGGCTTTGTACTGAACAATGAAAGCTATGTGGTGTTAATTCGCAAGCTGTCTCTGGTCTCTTTTATTCCTGTCAGACAGAACCTACTGAGCAGATGGAATCTAATTTACGATCAGAGAAGGATATCTGCAGTGACATTGAAGGCATAATTCAGCTAGATGGAACTGGTGATCTTCCTCCCAAGGAAGAAATACAACATACAAAAGATAGCGAAGAGAATGAGTTCATTGGCATTATTGAATCAGAGGATCTAAAAGTTCTGGAGGATGAGGATGAGGAAGACGATGATGAAGAACGTGACAGTATTTCAAACACAGAGTCTAGCAGCAGTGGTGGTGATAATGAAGAGCCCCAAATAGATATAGTTGAAGAGGTAATTTACTTTTAAGCCTTGTGAAGTACATTACAATAGTTTACCTGTCTCGACTGTTGGATTGTTGGACCCAGAACAGTTCCTGGTAAGGTTAATGCAGAGAATGCATGGTTAAGTTACGTACCTCTTGAGAAATTACTTGAGAGCTCATTATGAGGAGTATGTACAAATGAAGAAAATGTTGAGAAGTTATTTGTTTATTGGATGAATTAAAATACTTAATCACCACAATTAAAGTTCTGCGGTGAAACCTTGGCTTCAGTGGAATGGAGTTCTGCTTTTTCTTTAAGTAAGATTGGGATACAAATCTAGGTTTCTTTTCCTTCTGAAGGACCACAGGGAATTAGACAGAGAAGAGAACAACGTAATACAAGTATGTATGCTTCCTAGGAAAAGGCTTTTCTTAAAGATGGGCAATTTGGGGTCCTAGAGATTCCCAAGAGAATCAACTCATACATAGCTTCTGGACTTCAAATACATACCAGTTGATTAGTATTCCAGTTACTGGGGTCAGCCTTGTCAATTAGCAGTCTTGCTTTTTTAGCTGTTTTTGTTTAGGGTGTGTTTGGTTTTGAGAACATAAGCATGTAAAGATGCTTATAAATGAGCTTAGTGCAACATGGTCTTCATAGCCTCGAGGTCTTGATTTTTGCTCTGGTAACCTTTATTGCTCTAGGTGTGTTTAATGTCAAGTATATTCAATGATATTCTGAAAGAATGTATAAAATACAGTTTTAATCTCTAGGACCCGCTAAATTCTGGTGATGATGTCAGCGAACAGGACACTCCAGACTTGTTTGACACCAACAATGTGATAGTTTGTCAGTATGACAAGGTACAGTATATCATTTTATCTTTGTTCCTTAATAATTCTAAATAATATCTTCAGCAAGTTCATGTCTGGTCTACTGTCGGTACCTTTTAAATGAAATCTAGTGCTGTAATAATTGAGTGTTTAAACTACGTGTTTAGCTGATGTGTCTAAAGACTTACCTGCTGTTTTCTGAAATAAAGATAATCAATAGGTTCACAATGGCCTATTAAATGAGAAAGGGGACCGAATCTTGCGAAATTAAGTTTTGCAAAGCTGCAAAAGCTTATTAATTTCTTTAACTTGTAAGTAATGTCAACAGCTCCATGGATGTATGTATGCATTTTCAGCCATGAAATAAGACTTTTGAAATGGATAACCACAGAATCACAGAATCGTAAGGGTTGGAAGGGACCTCAGGAGATCATCTAGTCCAACCCCCCTGCTAAAGCAGGCTCACCTAGAGCATGCTACACAGGACTTCATCCAGGCGGGCTTTGAATATCTCCAGAGAAGGAGACTCCACAACCTCCCTGGGCAGCCTGTTCCAGTGCTCTGCCACCCTCAGAGTGAAGAAGTTCTTCCTCATATTCAACTGAAACCTCTCGTGTTTCAGTTTGCATCCATTGCCCCTAGTCCTGTCGCTGGACACCACTGCAAACAGACTGCTTCCGTCCTCTTGACTTCCGCCCTTAAGATATTTGTATGCATTGATGAGATCCCCTCTCAGTCTTCTCTTCTTCAGGCTGAACAAGCCCAACTCTCTCAGCCTTTCCTTGTAGGGGAGATGCTCCAGTCCCTTTATCATCCTAGTAGCTCTCCTCTGGACTCTTTCTAGGAGTTCCTTGTCTTTCTTGAACTGGGGAGCCCAGAACTGGACACAGTACTCCAGGTGGGGTCTCACCAGGGCAGAGTAGAGGGGGAGGAGAACCTCCCTCGACCTGCTGGCCACACTCCTCTTAATACACCCCAGGATACCATTGGCCTTCTTGGCAACAAGGGCACATTGCTGGCTCATGGTCAGCTTATTGTCCACCAGGAAAGAGGAGTATTGTACTTTCTCTTATATATTTTGCCTTTGAAGTGCTTCCTGAGAGATTTTTTCCTACCAGAATTCTGTCGTGTCTGAAAAGCAAAACAGTTGTTAAGGGCGACTTTGTCCTCCTTCATTTTAATGTTTAAAATTCAACCTTATTTTGAACTCTTGGAGATCAAATTAAGTATTTCTAACTCTGCTGTGGTTTTGGACACTTACATGTCAGTGGTTTAAAAGTTGACAAAACAAAGTGCGTATCTTATTTTGAAACAAATATGGAAAAAAATGTTTCTGTAGTTTGCTTAAGAATGTGCTTTGGCGTTTATTCTTTTGAAAGTGACTAATAATTTTTTCTGAGTGTTCAACTAGGCCTGCCTTAATGGTGTCTGTGTTTTAGGAAACAGCTTCTAAGAAAATTGCCTTTACTAAAGTGTAACAGATTGAGTCTTTCTGAAACTAGTTATTTTGGAAAATGTAGATCTAGGGATACGTGTTGAAAATGCATCTGAAATTGAGCCACAGTGTCTGTGTTGTATTGAAAAAGCACACAAAGTTTTGAAGCTTCCTCACTTAGTTTGATGTTACAGATGCTATGGGTAGTAGATATTGTTAGTTTAGCAAGTTTTGTCTGTACTGAGTTGAAAAAATGGTTGAGAATTTTTAAAAACTGCTATGATGTTCAGCACTGGACATTCCTAAAGTAAATTTAAGAACAGATATGATTCTATGATTCTATGATTCTATGATTCTATATTATTAGAAATTAACAGTTACAGAAGTTAGGGGGAGGTGTTGGCAACATCCCCCTTTCCTATATAGATTTAATAAAATGTAATAGGTTTATTAAAGTAGATGGAAACAGTTCTCTGTTAAATTACCTTGTTATGTATGAAAGAATGATATAGGCAAAATGATGGTCCTGTTTTGGGTTTTCCCTCCTCTTTCTTTCTGGACTTGAAAATAGACTGATGCTTAAAATCCAAGGAATTTTCTAAAGATGTTTTAAAATTCCTTCTTTTAGTATTAAACACAAACTTTCTGCAGTATAGATCGTTTTGCAGGCCTTTAAAAAGAAGCAGAATATGCAAATTCTTTCTGGTTTTATATGGCAGTATTTGCTTCTGAGCAAAGTTTTCCTGCTTTTAGCCTTATCCTAACATCCGTGTGCATGCAATATTGCTTTGTTGTGTGTGTGTGTGGGGGAATCCTGCTACATTTCAGTGAAGCCATACTTGTTTGCAAGGTGCAGTATAGTTTGGGACTGATACACTCATGAAATTGCTCCGTTACTGTCTTCTTTTCCTGCCAGTGTTGAGCTCTCAGAGCTAGCTTTTTTTTTTTTTTTTTTTTTTTTTTTTTTTGGGGGGGGGGGGGGGGTGGGTAGTAGATATTGTTAGTTTAGCAAGTTTTGTCTGTACTGAGTTGAAAAAATGGTTGAGAATTTTTAAAAACTGCTATGATGTTCAGCACTGGACATTCCTAAAGGAAATTTAAGAACAGATATTATTAGAAATTAACAGTTACAGAGGTTAGGGGGAGGTGTTGGCAACATCCCCCTTTCCTATATAGATTTAATAAAATGTAATAGGTTTATTAAAGTAGATGGAAACAGTTCTCTGTTAAATTACCTTGTTATGTATGAAAGAATGATATAGGCAAAATGATGGTCCTGTTTTGGGTTTTCCCTCCTCTTTCTTTCTGGACTTGAAAATAGACTGATGCTTAAAATCCAAGGAATTTTCTAAAGATGTTTTAAAATTCCTTCTTTTAGTATTAAACACAAACTTTCTGCAGTATAGATCGTTTTGCAGGCCTTTAAAAAGAAGCAGAATATGCAAATTCTTTCTGGTTTTATATGGCAGTATTTGCTTCTGAGCAAAGTTTTCCTGCTTTTAGCCTTATCCTAACATCCGTGTGCATGCAATATTGCTTTGTTGTGTGTGTGGGGGGGGGAATCCTGTGTTTTTTTTTTTTTTTTTTTTTTTTTTTTTTTGGGGGGTGGGGTGGGTGGGACTGTGTGGGGGTGTGCCCAGATTCAGGAGGCTGTTCCCTTGAGAGGGCAGTGAAGTCATTATAAACAGCTGAAATCTACTGCCTCTATTGTGCTGTGTTCAGTGGTAGTGTTTCACATGTTTTGGCCTATCAGGATTTTAAAAGAAAACCAAGCTTTGTAAAGCCAGTTGTGCTTAAAACCACATTTTTTTTTTAATGGATGGTCTAACATATATGGGGGGGTATTGATTAATTTCTTTTATCAGATACATCGAAGTAAGAACAAATGGAAGTTCTACTTAAAAAATGGAGTGATGTCCTTTGATGGTAAAGACCATGTTTTCGCAAAAGCTATTGGAGATGCAGAGTGGTGAGACCTCACTGAAGTATGTACTTTAAGACTGTGGCATTATTCCCTTATGAACTTTCTGTGAAACTACTAAACTTTCTATTTTTTTTGCCATTAAAACAAAACAAAACCCCCCAAACCCAACAACAAAGCTGTGATAAAAATATGCAAAATCTGTGTTGCTAATACATGCAAATTAAAACACTGTGGTGTTAGCTACTCAGCTGTCTTTGCTGTTCTTTTCTGATTATTTCATTACTTTTCTACCCAAGAAACATCATTGGAATGAATAGCTTTAAAGACTTAAAATGTTGTATCTGTTAGTCATTCAAGAAAGTAATGGAATACTAAGTGACTGTATTTAACTAGATTTCAGTTCTGTTGGGTTTTTTTCCACTTATTTAAAAAAGAGCTAAAGTATGACTTGAAATATAAAACTACACAGTTGTTGTTGATGCTATTTATTTCTTTTCAAAGGCTGCTGAGTTTAAAAAAAAAAAAAAAAGCAACATTTGTGCAAGTCTGAAACCTGTGGCTGTTTCAGCTGTGTACTTCTCTCCCCTTTCCTTCTGCCTTGCTTTTTTGTTGTGCTTTGTGGGGTTTTTGTCTTTAGCTTAAAGGCGGGAAATGTTGTTGTGGATGGAAGACCCTTGAGCTCTCCATATATGAGAATTATAATTGTTTGTTCTATACCCTCTGTGTCTACTGAGATGCAATGAATAGTGTGATTTAATATTAAAATGTGATTTATTTTTGCTGTCAGTACAAAGTCATTTAAGTTTGCTGCTGTACATATGCACTACATTCTAGGACTACAGACCAGTAAGCTGTGAATGATACAAATTGTGCATAATAATAAAATGTCATCTCATATACATTTCTAGCAGAGTTGTTTTTGTGTTCCCTAAACATAAACTTTGCTTAGAGAAATGTGTACAAGTCATGCATGTGACAGTAGCTCACCCTGCCATGAGAACTGCATTCCCAGCAGTCCTCAATATTAGCTTTTTGTTCCTCTAGAAATAGAGCCCCTAGCCCCTTCGGAGCTGCAGTTTTCCCCTGTCTAGCTCCTGTTCTTGTAGGGCAATATTGGAAACTAAATGGCAAAGCCTAAGCCAGGCTGACTGAGAACTGGGTAATCCTGCCAGAAGGGCAGTGCTACACGCAAGGGTATGGCACCCCTCCCTTCTGGCTGCTTCCTTTCCATCTGCTGAAAAAAGACATCACGAGCTGTTTTGGTTACTGCTACTCCCTGGGAGAACGCAGTGGCCTTGAGTAGAGAAGGCAAATAAAGGGAAAAGTTGGAGAGAAGGAATGTATAGAAGAAATGGGGGAGGAAAAACCAACACTTGTTTCTAATGTTACAAACCCTTGTGCTGATGGAATAAACAATAGAGATGCTTCTTTCAGGAGGCAGGTTTTCAACTTCTGGAGTTTCCTTCACACTCTCTTTGACATATCTCCTGATGTCCAGTATCTAAGATGGGACACTGAACTAGATGGCCAGACCTGAATGTGGCATTTCTTTTGTAGATACTGCTGCTGGGATGTGAAGAATTGTGTGTTCAGAGACAGTTAAAATATTACAGCGTATGACTTTTCCCCATTCCTGCCTTGTAGCTGCACTGATGCAATACTTCAGACCCATAAATGCACAGGAAATGCAGCTCTTGCCACGTGATAGATGCTTTTAGATTTCAGCACTCTCTCGCAGGCTCAGAGGTGTTCATGCTCCATAAATGCCTATGTTATGAACTGTGGGACCATCTTCAACTTGGGCAGCATAGCGGTGCTTCAGAAAAGACTGGAAGCAGAGGTAGTGTGACACAGGAATCTGTGGGATGTGACTGGATGTGCACCATTCACTAGACACCACGTGGTCTCCGAATGTTGCTTCTGAGAACAGGGTCTGGTTTTGCTAGTCCCTATAAAAGGAAGCAGCTAAAGAGTACCTAATTTTTAGCTAGTTTTAAAGGTGGGCAACATTTTCCTCTGTGTTGCATCTTTGTGCTTGTGGTGTTAAAGACTCCCTCTACGGGAAGGTGAGGAGTCGGAGCTCTGAGCATCTTGATGACTGCCCATCTTCTCTCTCCCTCTCCATTTTCAGACCTTGATCCTGTGTTGAATGGGTGCTGAGAGGTGTGGGATAAAAGTACTAGAGTAGGAATTCTCCCCTCAGCCCCCATCTCTTCTAAGCTTTACCAATTCAGACTTACTACATACCTTCTACCTGCTAGCTTCGTCTGCCTGTGTTCTGTTCTTGAAACACTTCTTATGCTTTGAAGTTCTGCAAGTTGATTTTTATGACAGCTTGCTGCAACCTCTGTGCAGTCCAAGTATGATATTGATTGTATAGACTGCACATCTGGGATTGGAAGTATTTTTTAACACTGGTCTCTTACTTCCCGAACTTCTTGAAAGTTTTATGGGTTGGGTGATATTTTTCCATCCTCTTTTGCTTTTTCACAAATGCGTGTACTATCAGCAGTTAAAATCTGAAAGGACTGTTTACGATCTTTCCTCCTGAAGCTTTGCTGACTGTATACATAGGTGGCTGTTATTGCCGGTCAGAGCTGACCTGCCTCAAAAGGGATGCTGAAGGTGGCTTAGCTACACCATCAAGCATCCATCCCATATTTGAGAAAATGGCCACTGAATTCATAATACTGCAGATCTGTCTCCCTCCAAACTACATCGTAGATATTCCTTGGGAGTGCTTGCAGTGGTTTTCCCAGTCCAGAGCTGTGGACTCTCTATTTGGACTCCTGCAGTAGGACTGATGTTAATTTTCTTCTGCCTAAGAATTGCCCTACATTTTGTTTCCAGTTTTCTTGAATGAACACTGGCAAAGACTTACAGATTTGAATAAGACATTTACAAGTAAAAATATCTGAAGTCACAGATTCTTATACTGGAAAAAAATGTTTCTTATTAAAATGTAAGCTCAGTTAGCTTATTACTGTAGCCTATGACTTGAGCAGTAATCAGATCAGAATGTTTTTGACCTGAATAGTTTGCTATATTAATGCTTTTTGTTGCCGCTACTTACATGTTGCTGCAAGATGTGATGGGAAGAGGTGTGTAATACCAGTTATGGCCACTGAAGATACTTCAGTAAATGGCCGTCTAAAACTTCACACCAGAAAGAAGGTAAGTTTACCAAAAATAATGAGATAGAATAAAAAGTGTAATTTAGATTCATGCTAAAGCTTCTCATACAAATCTTGAGTGAAGTGGTGCTTTTACTTATTTCCTCGCTTTTGTGTGAAGAAAAATTTGAAGTATATAAATTACTTCTGTTGCTAGGGTGTTTTGATTTTTTTTGTTTGTTTGTTTTAAACCAGCCATTATTTTCTAAATGGTAGATTTCACTCCACTTACAGCAGGTACAAAAAGAAAAATGCCCACAGGTCTCGTACTTCTTTACTGTTAGCTAAGCAGTGTTGTAAGGCAGGTACTATCAGTTGTCGCTATTTCCAACTCATTTCTCTTGCCTGTGGTTTCCTGATACTGTTACGTGGTAGGTGGCCAGGAAGGGTGCGCTTGCAAGCTCTTGTCCTGTTGAAACATAATGTAAGTAAATCAGTTATTGCCCGTGCAGGACACTTGTTTTGCTGTGTCCTAAATTGCGTGCAGGACTCTTCCATGGGCTGTCCGAAGAAATGAGTCTTGAAAACCAGTTTTGAGATAGGTGACAGGGAAGCCTTAGTCCAGGTAGGTGTTTTTTCACCTGTGTCTTTCATTTCTGTTATAATTAACTATCCTATAGTAGTCCTGTTTGCTCATCTGCTAAGCTCAGGAGCTGGTGTGTATAAAGAGGTGCATCATATGGAATTTTTACTGATTGCTAAACTGTAGAGTTTTAACAGTCTCCTCTGTTCTCGATCCTGCTTCGCTCCCCACGTGTGTGTGAACTGCTTGTGAGTACAACTATGCTTACATACAGAGCTTTTATACTGATTGAAATCATGGCATTAAGCTGAAGGTAAAAGAGGGTCAGAGATGTTATTTCTAATTAACACAATTATAAGCTAATGATAAACCCATCACTAGTACAAAGAATTGCTTTCATTAACGTGAAGCAAATTTAATTTGCAGTGCGCTGTTTTGGCAACAAGAGGCGTGCTTTGGAACGCAGATTTTTATTGCTGTCACAGCCTTGAAAGCAAAGGACTCAGCTGAGATGGAAAATGTAAGAGGTTTAAAGTGATTGTAGTAATAACATTTTCTTATGTATCGGAGTCTGCACTTTTGGTGGCCATGAAGAACTGTTAGGCTGTGACTGTTCTGGAGTAAGCACAGCTCTTACGCAGCTGCACTGCTCTGCTGACTGCAGGGGAGGGGTGTATTACACTAGCTGAGGGTCTGTCTTCAGATACCCTGAGCATCATCTACAGACTGCCATCTAAGATGCTAAAACTTTGACTACAAGCCCAAATAAAACACATTTGTTTTACCTTCTGTGAACCATAAACTGCCACTTGTAGGTCTCGCGCTACCATATTGGTTTGATGAAATTTAAGCACTCCCATGTTCCTCCCATCAGAGGCAATGTAGCCAACCTGTCAAGAAATGAGCAACCCAAGAAGAGGCTTGATCTGCTGTCCACAGCTTTTGCATCTGGTTTTGCCCGCAGGACTGTGAATTTTCCTCATTTTCAGAAGACGAGGCAGTGCAGAATGGAGCCTCCTTGGGACGTGCCTGGGGTGGTCTCCTGCAGGGATCCTGCCTGGCATTGAGTGCAGTCTGCAGCTTGTCACCAGTATGGATTGTTTGGCCCATACGATGCAGGTGAGAGCTTACACATCTCAATCTCCAGCTTCAGTATGGTGTGGTGTTGGCTCATGGCAAATGAATGCGTCGGGGTGACAGCTTATTTTACACGGACAGAGTAAATATATGCTGCAATAACAAATTTTTACTTCATTCTTACTTACATTAGGAATGCAGCCACAAATCCTTAGCATTAGGCAATGCATTGTGAAAGAAAAGATTTTTATGGGAAAACACAGTCACTAAAAAGTA